TGTGTGTGGGGGGATTCTCTAAGCACTCAGGTACAGCTGTGTTGTGAATGTGTCCCCCCAAAATTTATACTTTCCCTTAATAAACTGATTTTCCTCCAAAGAGTTCCTATCAAAGATTGAAGAGTGGATGCAGCCATGAAGTTGCCCACATGAAATGACCCAGGTCAGACCGAGAGTGTGTCTAATCCACAGGTATTTCCTACAAAGCTGGCAAATGTGATACAATGTTCCACTCTCTGAACAGAGTTGTTCTAACATCTCCAAAAACACTGACCTCAAACTGAGCTCTAACATAGAGACCATTTTAATTTCAACCTTAGTAGAAAACCTGCCAACAACTCAAAAGTATCATTTATCTTAAGAAAAGATGGACCTTTTTGTATTCACTTGACAAAGGAAATATTAATAAACATAGAAAGACAATAGTTTAAGTCTCATATAGTTTTGCACTGCCAAGTCTTGTGCCTGAACATAACAACTATAGTAAACCTTATGGTTAGGATTTATGTGCTTACCAGTTTTCCTGTTACAGATTTTCATACATATTTCCTTTTATGGAATTCAGAAGGACAAGAATCAAATGTAAGACAGTGAGAGGAATTCTGCAGGATGCTGAAACTTACCAGAGGGCCAATTCAAATTCTGGGAGAGAGGAGTAACTAGCCAGGTAGGTGCCACAGTAACTGAACGAAAGTAGAGTGTAGTCCAGGAGAACATTGCCTAAAATATAAAACCCATTACAAGGACTTGATTACCATGTTCTGGTTAATTATACTCTACAGTTTATTTCCCTTTCGGAGTGATTGTCACATAATTCTGAAGTATTTATCTATTAAAGTAAAAGATCTAAGACAATGAACAGAAAACTGCATTAAGAGCAAAGCCAGGATCCACTTTAAAACACATTGGAGGGAGTTAATACCACTAGGTCACTGTCTCCAGACGTCAGTGTGGAACTGAGCATACTGTACTGTAAATGTCTCAACGTGGTGTGAAATGACCCTAAAACCACAAAGTATCTCATATCTCATCAATATATGAGTAAGTATAAATAGAACACTTATTCAAACTTTACCTGGGGAACTGCAATTATTCTAGTACTTCCTTACTCTATTCTTAAGCCACTTTTGGCCTTCAGTTTAATAGTTTCCAACTCTTAGAACAACTATAAAAAGTTATATTGGTTTTTGTACCCTGGGCTGAAGAAATGCAACTTGATTTTAAAAGCAAGCCTAGCAACATCTTTAAAATGTGTAGCCATGGTGCTGGGATGTAGCTCAGCGGTAAAGTGCTTGCCTAGTCTGCCTGTGGTCCTGGGTTTGATTTCTAGCAAAGAAAGAAAGGAAAGAGGGAAAAAGAAAAAGAAAGAAAGCAAGCATCCTGGGGATTCTGAAACAGGGTAGTGTCTGCCCTGCTGCCCAGGGTTTGGGTCTGGTTTCCCTTCCCTTTATCAGTTCTCCCACAGCTGTGTGCTAGCCTTCACCCAGGTCTGCCTTTCTATTCATGTTTTTATGGCTTGTTTGTCACTTTTAATGGTTCTTTCCTGCTTTACCTGACAATAATATAACCTTAAATATAAGCTTAATATAATCTTGATTTTCTCATTTGTTTAGCATAGTCTAATCAATAAGACAACATGCATTTAAAATACAATGAATTTTTCTGCGGGATGAGGCCTTAATA